TTAGAGGGAGATGTGCAATTTTACAGAGGACAATGCAAAACAATGGAATAAGCCTTCCACTGGATCAGCATAATCTGCCATAGATTATGTTGTTATGATTCATTGTATTATTTATTTATTTTGGTGGTGGTCCTTGGATTGCTATTTTGTTTTCAACTCTGTAAGTTGGCCAGGAGAGCACTGGCATGGTGGTTTAAACATTAGGCTAGAACAGTGGTTCTCAACCTTTTTAATGCCGCGACCCCCAACCGGTCATAAGTCGAGGACTAAACCGGTCATAAGTCGAGGACTAAACCGGTCGTAAGTCGAGGACTACCCAACCGGTCGTAAGTCGAGGACTTTCCCTGCCCGGGAGCGCCACGCATGCATGGTTCCGCCCCCTGCGCCGGCCGAGGCGTAGCTGGCAAGCGGCAGAGACGGAGCAGGCCGACCACCAGCTGGCCCAGCTCAAGGGAGGTAAGGCACCCGCCGGAAAAGGGGAAAAAATGGCGGATAGCCTTGCTTGGTGACCCCCGTGAAATGGTCGATCGACCCCAAATGGGGTCCCGACCCATAGGTTGAGAACCACTGGGCTAGAAACTGGGAGACCATGAGTTCTTCCCGCCTTGACACAAAGCCAGCTGGGTGACTTTGGACTAACCACTTTCTTTCAGCCCTAGATGGAGGCAACGTCAAACCGCTTCTGAAAAGCCTTGCCAAGAAAAACTGCCGGAACTTGTCCAAGCACTCTCTGAGAATCCCACAAGATGACAGAGTTGCAGACACAATTGCGTTAAATAAATAAATAAATAAATAAATAAATAAATAAATAAATAAATAAATAAAAGCTTCCCATAGTCCAATGAGATGAGCAGCTGCATAAATGTATTAGATATATATTTGGGGGGGGGGATTCAAAAGAGCATGTATTTTATCCAGTTCTGAAATGATGCCACAATGTACATACACTCGGTGGTAATTCTAAAATAAATCAGTGCTAAGCGGTTAAATTAAAATATTTATGTGGAAAGAAGTGTCACATCTGTCTTCACAATTAAGGACCATTCACTGAACCGCATCACCCTCACAAGTATTTAGCTTTTGTTTGTCTGCCACCTTCCCTTAAAGAAAGAATCTGAAGATTGAAAGCTTTCATCAGATTGTTTAAAATAAATAAATATCTGGAAGATCAATCTGAGGCTCCCCGCAGCATCCTTTTGCTTCTGCTGGTCCTGGGACTGCCCCATTGCAATAAATCTTTCCTTGGGCTTTTCTCTCACTTTAATGACCCTTTCAGATCTCAATGTAACCACCAGGATAGTGTTTTAAATCTTTTTTTAAAAAGGCTTCCCCCCCCCAGAAAGATTCAGAAATTTACATGTTTGTTGGTGGCAAAGAATAAGCTAGAGAAACAATAGGCAGACAAAAGTGGATCTGTTTTCTTGGCCAACAATCTGAATTGGCATTTGGTTTTTATTTCACTGGCCTAGATGGTCACTGGCCTTGGTCTCTCTTTCTCTCTCTTCCTCCCTCCCTCCCTCTTTCTCTCCCTCCCCCTCTCCCTCCCTCAGGTTGAATTATTATTGTCTAACATAGGGCTACCGCTTCTAGGCTGCAGAATCACTAACTTACTGTTACATGCATCTAATGCCAAGTAATACAAAAATAATGCCAATTTTTAACCACAAACATTGTAGCTCTATTCTAGCCCCACTTTCCACAGAGGTTGACTGTACAAATGCTGTACAACACTTATGTGCCAGTGTTAATGGGAGAAGCACGGTCAACCTCTGTCTTGATTTATGTGTAATGGAGTTAAAGATTCCCAGAGTAGCTCAGAAGAAACTTGGAGAGGAAAAGAAAGAAATGGAAAAATGATTTGCTGACTATGCTTTAGGTCAGCAGTTGTCAACCTTTTCTTCACCACGGACCCCTTTAAATACCTTTTGTGGCCAAGGGCCATGGCCCCAGACCACCAAGACGTAATTCAAGATTTAAATCATAACATTTCTTCAAGCCTTTGTGGACCCCTTGTGGTGACATTGTGCCCCTCCCCCAGGAGTCCGTGGACCACAGGTTGAGAACCCACTGCTTTAGATCAAGGAGCAAAAATACCAGCTGAAGCCACAGGACAGCTAGTGTGATGGAGCAATTAAGATGACCCAGGAATAGGCTCAAGTCCACCCACAGCCACAGAGACCCTTTGGATGACTTTTGGTCAGTCGATATTTCTTAGGCTTGTTCTAAGGAAAATTGGTGGAAGAGTACAACATATATTCCCTTGAACACCTGGTGAAAAGATGAGATAATGGTCTAAGGAATGTTGGACGAGGCAGGGAGGAGAAGGAACAGAGTAAAAAAGAGCAGGGGACTGGTGGCTACTCTCAATGCTCCAAGTTCAATGGAGTAGAACGAGCAAAGAGCCAATGTTCTCTTATCTGCTCAAAGGATGCTTTCTTCCTTTAGCCAGATATTCCATCTGAATGGAACTTCTGATTATTTCGGTGGATCTCATTCATTTTCCTTTCCCTACAATGGTTGTTCCCTACTCCAACCATCCAAGGGATTGCTTTTATTGAAGTTTGAGCACACACAGTGCCTGCACACACACACACACACACACACACGTGTCAACGTTTTAACAAATTCTTTTACATTCTCTGGTGAAACCAGGCAATGTGCACAGCTGACAATTACCAGGGTCCTCTCTCCTCCACTATCACCGTATCTCCAGTTTTGCTGCCTCTGGTCACTAAAACTATGCTGGGAAAAAGCAGCCTCTGAAATCTCCAGATTCCCTGCCTTTTCTGCCTCGGATATCTTCTGTGGCAGGAAAAAAAAAAAGCTCTAGTTGCTGTTTATTCATATCTCTTTTACCCAGAACATAGTTTGGGGACCAGGAATGGTACCCGATTCCGATGAAGTTGAGAAAATGGGATTTAGATGAGATTAGGGTCCATTGCTCCCCCATTGGAGTTACACAGACCTAACCCACCCAGATCAATCTTCCACTGGACAAGTCTGGAGAAGTGAGAAGGAACTCCTGAAAAAAAACAACAACCCAGTGCTTGGAGAAGGAGGGAGTGAAACCTTCATTGTCGGATCAATTAACATTTCACTACAAACTATTCCTTGAAACAGGCCTAATGGGATGAAGTTGCCCACACGGGCAGCTTTAATTAACCCCACAGAACCTCTCTGGTGAAAGTTGCAGGGGAAAGCATAATACTGATAAGCCAAAAGCCCAGCGGATGTCAGTGCTCAGTCACACTTAGTGACAGTGTTCCTGTCACGAGCAACATTCCTCTGCTTGGTGCTTTCAGCAGGCTACGGATCAGTTCCTGGCAAGCCATGCCCCACAGGTGTTTCAGAACTACCTCGCGCCTCATTCGAAAGCAGGAGGCATTCCTGAAGATGGTTGCTAACAGCAACGCGACAAGAATTGCGGGCAGGGGCTTTGAGGGGGGCCAGGAAGAGAAAGAGACAGGAAAGGTAGCTAGGAATGATCTAGCTTGCCACATAAAGGCCACTGGAGCATCCCCACGTCTCCCCTGATCCCAGCTGTGAGTTCCTTCCTCGATTTTTAACCATCTATCTTGCTCCAACGCGCAGATCTGCCGATGCCCACTGGAAAGGGAGTGTTTTAGTGGCAGGAGAATGCTCGGAAGACAAACACGCCTTGAATTGGGCACAACTTCATTCCAATATTATTTACCCCTCGTTGTTCCAATACTGTAACAACAATCCAGAATGATCCCAATCGACAGGAGCTTAGCTGTGGGGCTGCTTCAATAGGCACCGGTGTCTCCACCTTAACTTTTTCTTTCTGCCAGAGGAACTTTTCTTGGATAGATTTACTGCCAGAGATGACAAGAAGCCTGACCTTGAACCTTTCCTCCCCGGCATTTTCTGATTTGCTTGCATTTTACTCTACCCTCCCAAGCTGGATTCACACACTGTTTATTAAACTATCAAGGAGCGATAGATTTCTCGAGAATGCGGGATGGAAAGGGAGGTGTCAGTTCTTTTGAAAAAGTCGAGGCTGAGATGTCCCCTTAAAAAAAAAAAAAAAAAAAAAAAGATCCAACAGCCAATACTACCGCTGACCACAGCCATCCAGTGCCTCTTTCGGGGGGGGGGGAAACTCTGACCTTCAGGATCCTACTAGAGAGTGACTACTTAAGGACACCGTATTGGCACCTCCAGCCCAGGTACTCTGCTCCTAAAGAACTTGCCCACAGTCCCACTTTAGAAGCCCCCGTCCTTCTCTGCCACTGGCTTCTGGGGGGAGGGTCTAGATTGCCGTTGTAGTCCCAAGCAATGCCCTTGCCTGGCTCAAGGTACGCGTGCTTCACCCTCTCGCTATCGGTGAAAAGCCCTTCACAAGACCATTTGATGGATGGCGGAATGGGGCGGGAAAGAAAGTACAAGTGTTAACGGAGTTTCCAGAACTGCCCTGTTCGCCAACAACTGACCCGCGCTTGCAAAGCAAGGAAAACGGCGTCTGACAATGAAAGCTGGAGCGTCTGACTCCATTCAGACGGACAAGGACTTGGATCCCGCCAAACCAGAACCAGCCAACTTCGAGACACACACACCCGCCCCCGACGCTCGCGCATACCCAACTGCAACTCGGAAAAGACCACACAAAGCCAGCTTTTTTTTCCCCCTTCCTTTTCTAAAGAGAAGTCCAGCCCGCCCTGCTTGGCTTGGCTTGGCTTGGCTTGGCTTGGCTTGGCGGGCGGGCGCTCCTCTCTAGCGGCTCCCCTCCGCTTCTTTCGCTTGTTTAGCCGCTTTGCTTCGAAGTCAAGACGGACCGGAGGGGCCGCCTTCAATGCAACCGGGAAGAGTCTAAATAACCGATTAGCCCGGAAGTAGCTTCGTCTCCTCTTCCCTCCGACCTCCCTTCCCTTTCCCTTCCCTGACAAAATCCTGGGGAACACGCATAAGGCAAAACCGAGTGGGGGGCGAGGAGGAGGAGGAGGAAGAGGAAGAGGAGGAATAATAAACGGCCGCCTTACCGAATCTCAACACATGTGTGGTGCCTTGAGAATATCCAATCCACATTAAGCAAAGCAGGAGCCGAGCGGTGCCTCTGAAGACTGGGTGAGTTAGAATCGGGGCAATAATCTTCATGGTGTTCCCTACGCACACCCGCGCCGCTTCCCTCTCGGCCCCCTTTGCTTCAGCGTCAAGGTTTCCCCCGCGGTCGGGTAAAGCGCCAAGGAGCCGTGAGGAGGAGCCGGGAGGAGGAGGAGAAGTGCCTGGCCCTGAGACGCGCGATCACGGCATGGTCACGCCGAGGCGAGGGGGACTCTCTCCGCTGCCCAACGCCACCAGCCAAGCCTGCATGATCTTCGCTCACTGCGCCAAGGAGCAGCAGCCTTCGCCTGCACGGAATGGTGGGACATCCATGGTAGTCGGGCGAGCGGGAGCGGAAGGAGGAGGAGGAGAGAGAGAGAGAAATCCGGGAGCAATCCAGACCCCCAGGTGTTGGCGCGCTGGCCAGCCGGGCGAACCTAGGAGACAAGCGAGAGGAGGGGGGAGGAAGGGGCGGGGGGGGCAAGAGAGAGAGAGAAAGAGAGAGATCAATAGGCGATCCGGATCGGGCGAAAACCGCCGCCGAGCAAGAGGCGGGCGCTCGCTTGGCCGATGGGTTTCCCTTCCACTGAACTGCCGCACAGCTTCTGACGCGCAGCCAAGATGAAGTGTGAGAAACGGGAGACGGCTCGTCTTGTCTTGAGGCCGCCTTCCCCCCCTGGCTTCTCTCGTTCAACCGAGGCCTTGGCCGAGCCAACCTTTTGGAGTAAACATGTACGTTTCGAAAGGAACTGTGGCTTGTTGCGACGCGCCTCGCGTTTGGATGGTCTCCTTTCCAGTAACCTGTTGTTTTCTGGGTGAGGAGCAGACAGATTCCTAGTTAGGTCTGAATCGGTCTGCTCGCCTGGTCTAAACGCAGCCGAAGCCGAGACTGAAAGAGTCTGCGGAGGTCTGGGTCGAGGGAAGGACAGGGAGCCTGCTTGGAGCCCCCAAGTCCCATTCTGGGCCCTTCTCGACATTGCTCCACTTTGATTTCGGTGGGACTGGCGTCGGTTTCAGCCCAAAGTCTTGAAACTGAGAGCGGGTCGATTTCAATAAGAAGCCGTTTCCAGGCTTTAGCATAAAGAGCAAAGAAGACCGCTCTGTCAAAATTAAGTCACTCCTGGACTGAGTGGCAGAACATCCTTTTTTTAAGAGTTGGGGAAAATGACGTTTCTGTTGGTTCTGAATGTATACAAAGAACCAATAGGCATTTGCTTTCCACAAAGTACCATTCATTCATTCATTCATTCAATCCACACAACTAATTTTACATAAACCCTTTAGGAAGAATGGCAACCAGAATTAAATGCTTATCTACAACCAAAGTTGTAATCCGATGTTAGACTACCTGGAAGGAAGTTACACTGAACCCAGGAAGCTTACTATATTGTATAGAATTGCATGCTGTTGTCAGAAATAACAGTGCGTGAAGGAAACATTTTTCCCCACATTTCTGAGCTCTCTTCTCATTTATATTCCTATTACAAAAGTTCTGTTTTTAAATTCCTTTATATACCTTTGTATCGACCGCTAAGTTTTGTAAGACTAGAAACACCATATAAACTGTAGCGAATGCAATCTAAGAAGCATTCTCCAGGTTCCATTATTTGCAGTTCTTAGTGAAGTCCTTACTAATATAGAAATATAGATATCTGGAAGTCTTAGATATCTTTAAACTGAACAGGAATTCATCTTGTCTAGATCTGAATGGGGTAATTTGAGAATTTTTCTCTATTTTCATTGCTCTCTCCCACTCTGTCACAAAGAGATATACATATCAGATTAAATATATATTTATTAGGATCTTATTTCAATAGGAAATACAATTGAGATTTTTTTTAAAAAAAAATGAGTGGGCAAGAGGAAGACTCATTAAAACACATTTTGTGGAGAACACAAATCTTTTTGTATTACTTGAAAGAAAGCCATTGGCATTCAAATTGTTAAGCACTTATTATGGATCAACAGGGAGAGAAAAGGGTAACTTCTATTACTGTCCTATGAAAGTGAATGGAGATTTCTTCCATGATGGGAATGCCCCTCTCACCACTTTAATGCAGAAGAAGTTCCAAAAGACATTCTGTAAATTAAGGTGACATAAATCCATATCGACCCCCGTGTGATTATCTATCTCTCCTTAAGACTGTGGACTGAAGAAAGGATAGGCCCAGTTGCACCAAGAAGTCTAGAATCTGATTCTTCTTGTTCTGTCTTGTTTCTTGCTTTATCTAAATCACCTGGGACTTATTTGATTCATCTAGGAGAATAACAATGGGATGTTAATATGATAGGCTGCACCTTTCATGCATCTATTTCAGACCAAACTTCCTATGAAGCAGTTGCTTGATGTGATGCCTTCCATATGTAAAGAACTACAGTTCTCATAGTTCTCATAGTCCCGCAGGAATGCTGCTAAGGATATTTGATATCAAGATGGGTAAGGCTATTCCTCCTGGTGAAATAACTAAGATTTATAACTGTTAAAGCTTGTGTTATGGGGAAACAAATCAGAACAGCTTTCTATTATTAAGGTATTATCATATCTGTAGTTGAACTGAAATTTACATATTAATAAAGGATAAATAAATAACCTTGGGATTTTTTTAAAAATGTTAAAATTTGGAACTCTTACAATGATGTCAAAAGTAAATATCAGCAATGGCTACTTCTGCAGACTAACAGGCTTTTCAATGAATTGGGGGGGGGGGCTTATTAACAGTGAAAAAAGGGGATCTAGCGACCCCTTCAGTGTACTACTGGAATATTTTACCATGAAACTGCAGTGTGAGATTGTTGGATATACTATTCATTTCATAATACTTCAATTTGGATCAAAAACAAATGGGTAATACAAGGTAAAACCAAGCTGATATTGAAATGTTTTAGTGAATAGACATAATGCTAGTTTGGTATCTCTAGATGAGACAATATAGTTTTGAAAATATATTTCTTTTATTTGTAAGAATTCCCTTTTCAAAAATGTTGTAACTTAACTTTTATTAGCAGTCACTGGTAGATTTGAATCCTGTTATTAATTTCATGAGGATTTCTGTATTTTCTTTGTTTTTCTAACTAGTCAGTTTGATATTTTATAAGACTCACCAGATCCTTTTATCTGGGAAATTGAATTCTGGCAGGAGATATTGCATCTGTTTTTACTTTGCAATATTCTTTACTCTCAACTTTTGTTGGATGATTGTGAACTGGAAAGATATCACCAAATCTACTCTGCTGGATTTTTCTTCTTCTTCTTCTTCAATCCTGTCCTATTTTTGGAGACTGCCTGGACAAATCCCTACACTTTTCTTGGCAAGGATTTTCAGAAACAGTTTGCCCTTGTCTCCTTTCCAGGGCTGAGAGAAAGTGACTGGCACAAGGTCACCCATCTGGCTTTGTGCCTAAGGTGGGACTAGAACTCACAGTTTCTTGGTTTCTATCCTGATGCCTTAACCATTATACCAAACTGGAATTTTAGTAACTAAATAGTGTTTCCTTTTTTCAGTACCATGGATAGCGACACACATTTGGCCTTGCTAAAATGCTGAATGCTATATATGTGCAAAACATGTTGTAAAATATAAAAATAAAATCGCCCCGTCAAGTTTTTTTTATACAAAAAAGAAGCAAAATAGTTGAACTACTGACTCTGGTTGTTTAGTTCACATTGGTTATTCAAACATAATGTGAAACAATCCCCTAACCTCAAATTCTCATTCTCTTTTAAATTCAAGATTGCACAAGATACTCTTTAGAGTTGCTTAAATTACAGGACAAAATTATCATACTTAGGTTGCAATGGTTGTAAGTTTCCTTTTTATAAGCAAAGCCCTTTCCTCAAATACGTAACTCATTTTGGTCTTAGAATTTTTTAAAAAAATAAATATTTAAATATGTGATATTTTTTTTTAAATGAACATGCCTCAAGAGGTATGCACAGCTTTAATGATAATTTTCTGAAATAACTGGTTTTTAATTTATTATTCCAGATATGGCAGGTCTGTTATATATACGTATACACATATTTCAGATAAATACCCCTTGAAACTTCTCTTTGTTTCTGCCTCTTTCACTGAACTGCAGTGAGTAGAGGAGAAGCTTTCAATACTCAGTTCCATGCTTGGGTGCCATGGATGTACTCTTTTTCTTCAATATTTAAAGCCTAGCAAAGAACATATTTTTTTTCCTGCCCAAGCCAAGAATGCAGGTGAAATTGAAATGAAAAAGCATACATCAAGAATAGAAGGCTGGTCTGTGAAAAGCCTGAAGCCAATCCAAAACTGCCTGTGCTGGACAATAATGTTACGTCAGGTTTTAGAGTTGCGTGATGTTGAGAGATCATTTCTTGGCACTATCTCCAATCAGCACTTTCCTCATCACTACCTAGGAAAAATTGGTTTCATCTACAGGTTAAATTGACTCCATCTGGGAAAGACTTAAGACGAATGGCATGTCTGCTGAGAATTAATTTGATTTAATTCATTAGGATTTACTCCCAGGTATAATCTGACAAAACTAGGATGGCTTTAAAGTTGTAAAGCTAGATGCACTCTACAAAGCTTAGGAGTTCAATCCCAGTAGAAGGGCTTGAAACCTAGACACTACATAAAAGATGTGGGCAATCTTTCAGGCCTTTCCTGATCTTTACTTTGTTTGATGCACCTTTCTCTTTCTCATCAATATATTTAGAAACTATCTTTGACAGATTTAGTCTCCTATATGCTCCCCCTAGCAAAAAAAAAATGTTTAAAAAAATCTGCTTGCAGTCAATAGGGTTCAAACCTTGCTGTGGCCCAAGTATTTTGAGATGTTCTTTCTTAATATACAGTTGATATTTCTGTATCTTCCAACTCTGCCTGTAAGTAGACAGAGACCTGTCAAGAGCTTTACTGAAGTAAACCAGGCCACCTTCTTTCTGTTGGCTAAAGTATTCAAATAAATGTTGATGTTTCTATAATATTTAAAACATCCCCATGGACCTTACGGGGATCCACTTGTTTTCCACTCCAAACAAATGATAGATTCCCCTTTGCCTGTTATTAGCTCCGCCAAAGATT